TTTTTTTAAAAAAGTTGAGGCTGGAGAAGTAGATGGCATTTGGGCTTCATCCTGAGGGCAAGGGGGAGGCATTGGAAGATTTTGGGAGGGGAAAGACTTGCTCAGATTTGCATTTTGCAAAGATTGCTGGGCTATAGTGAGGAGGATAGACTAGAGGGGGTGAGCCTGGAGTTGAGGCATAGGGGTGGCTGTAGGGATAGTGAGCAGAAGAGGGATTCAAGACAGGTGTGATGGCCAACTCAGTGGGTCTTGGTCATTGACAGAGCGTAGAGATAACGGAGAGCCTGGGGGCAGGAATGAGCCTTGGGTTTCCGACTTGAAGAAACAGGAGGACACACCAATCATGAATGACCACCTCATCAATGAGCATATCAGGTCCTTGGGACGGGGCATTGGAAGTGGAGATGACATTTGGCAGGGTGGCCTTGGTCCCTGGTCCTCCTCCCATGAGCAGGGCAGGGCAGATTCAGCTTCAGCTGTTGAGGATGATAAAACTGAGATGCTCTGGGAGACCCTGACAAGTCATTGCACCTCCTGGAGCCTTGGCTGACACAGGCGGGGGCTGGAGTGACAGCTGCTGCCTGGTCTTCTTCCCCCGGTCAGGACAACTGTCAAGTGCAATTTGAGGGTGATGAAAAGCTTCCTCCCCAGCAGCCCGGCACCTCCTCAGCAGCTTGGGCCTGGGATCCTGGGGCTATTATGGAGCAGAATCCCTGGTTCTTCCCTAGCCCATGGGGTCAGGCTGAAGGTGGTCGAGCCTCGGGTGGGGCAGACAACCTCCCTCCTTCCCTCTTACCCTTTCTTGCTCAGAGTCTGGCTGTTCAATTTCTTCAGGTCAAAGCACAGGGCTTGACCCCATCAGCCAGTTTTATCCCACGTTACTCCTAGTGGAAGCTGTCACAGAAGCTGGGGCAGGTGCACTGTGGCAGTGAGTCTGGCTGGCTTTAGTCAGGGTGTTGAGACAGGGAGTCACCATCACCCACTCCCTATTCCCTTTACCCTGTTCTCCTGACGGACTGAGTCTGGCCTGCGTCCCTTGGCCCCCCTTCGGCAAGAGCAGTCCTCCACTCCCACCCTGGCCAGCCATGCCTCACTGCCACTTTCCTCCAGGAAGCGTCCTGATTCCCCTGATGGGTCTCCTGGTCCCAGTGTCCTCAAGGCCTCATTCCAGGCCCAGACCCCAGGACATTAGGTGTGGAAGGTCCCTTGGAACAGGTTTCATAGCTGGGAGAGGCAAGGAGGGACAGATCTAGTTACTCACTGGTGAGAAATCCCCTTCAAAAATGGCCCTGGTTTCCCAGTGAGTCCAAGGGACTAGCAGACGATGTGAAACTCAGCCTATATGACCATGAGACCAGAGGAGCTAAATGGTGCCCAGCTCCCACTGCCAGCTGCTCAGAAAGGGATCAATGCAGGAGATCCTGGATAGAGTGGGAGAACAACATGGAACAAAACTCAAAATCACAAAAAAGGCCAGGTTTACTGCTCTGATAGAGCCTGGTGAGACCCCTGAGACCATGGCCCCCAGTTACCCTTCAGGTCTGGAACTGAACTCACTCCTGTGGCTTCCAGCCAAACAACAGACAGCCATATGGCGTGAACATTTATATCAGGGAGATACACTCCTTAAAACGATCAATCATGGGAGAACAGAAAGGCAGTGTTTCACAGGGAGACAGTGGGGCGGGGCAGGAATGCATAGGAAAGAAGGACACAGGGAAGAAGTAACTACAGGGAGGAAGTGGGAAGAGAGCTGTTACATTGTGGGGAATTGCAGTTAATGTCATGAAACAAAATGCATATGAACTGCTGTGTGGAAAATGAATTTGTTCTGTAAACTTTCACCCAAATTACAATTTTTAAAAAATAAATGTCCCTGTTTTCCGCTGTCTCCCAAATGAGGCCCTGTCACATGTCCCCCCAAGTTTCCGCTCCATTTCACCCCTGGGTCCACTCCATCAAGCTCACTGAAAGCCCACTAGGTGCCAGGCACTGTGCTTGGTGCTGGGACACAGTGGGGGTGGCAGACGCACCCTGCCGTCTCGGGGTTCTCGTCTCTTGGGTGATACTTTCAGGCGTTGTACACCACCAGAGTTTCATGCCACCCGACCCCACCCCACCCCCAGCTTATCTCTGCACTTTCCCTTCTCCGCACATTTCACTAAGCGGCCCCTCCTCCTCTTAGTGTGATCTTCCCACCTACAAGGCCCAGCTCATTGGCCACCTCCTCCATGCAGCCTTCCCAGATCTCCTGGTCCAAAGCAACCTCTCCTCATCTTGGGACCCAATGCCCTTTATCTCACTAGCTTGTTCCTCTGTGGGACCAGGCCTTGCTCTCCCACCTCTACCTCACCCCATTGTGTAACCCCCACCCCCACCCCACCCCCAAGGACAGAGGCTGTGTCTGGTCTGCCCACCCCTCAGGCCTGGCCCAGCACTGGCCCCAGACCAGTGCTCACTGGCACGTTAGCTGTCCTGCTTCCCCTCCCCTGCAGGCAGCCAGCACCAGCCGGGGCTGGTGCAAACCTTCCTCTCCTGCTGTCCTGACATGTTCCCATCGGACAGGGGAATTTGAGTCCTTCTGGAGAAAAGTTCTGAGTCTGCAACAGGACAAAGGGGAATCAAAACACCCAGGGGTTTTCCCCAGCAGTGGGGGCTGGGGCCTCATGCTTATTAAGTTGTTGTCCTCATCCTAACAGTCTGGCAGGTGTGTGGTACCAGAAGCATCCTTTGTGACAGGTGGAGAAGCCACAACGGATGCACTGGGCAGAGGGCACTGAGCACAAGGAGGGTCAAGAGGCACCTTCCCCTGTCCTCAGGAGACAAGTGCCAGCCTCCTCCGTGGACAGGCCCTCCTCAGCTCTCCATTCCTCTGGGCCCCAGGCTCCTTCCTCAGATCAGAGCTCTCCTGCCCCAGGCTGTGAGGGCACTGCACCCCTTCCCCAGCCCAGCCCTGCCTCCTCTGACCTGGCAGGAATGGGAATGGGACACTGTGTGACACTCCTTTGAGGGGTGCAGGTTGCCCTTGTTCTACAGGAAAACGGCTCCAGGGATGTGCACAGGCAGGAACCCCACCCACCCGTCAGCTGCACTTGCAGATGGCAGTCACTCCAGGATGGAAGGAGCTGCCCAGCCAGACAGGGCTGTGGCTTGAGGAGGGCCAGAGTTAGGGGTCTCCAGCAGGTTATGTGACCCTAAGAGGCTCACAGAAATGTTACTGTGAGGCCGACCCAAGGGAGGATCCATCTTTCTCAGATCTACTACCATCTTAGAGGGGCCAATCTAAGCTTCTCTCTACAGATGATAGAACTGAGGCCCAGAGAGGGTCTATGAGCTGCCTGAGGTCACAGAGCAAGGCTGTGGCAGAGGCTCCTATGACAGGGACGTGCTGCTGAGGGCAGGGAAAGGGCTTCCTTGCCCAGGACCTGAAGCAGCCCCCAGCCTCTAAGGGACCCTGGGGAGAGAGGGAGACTCTGCTTTTCTGTCCCATGGTCTGTTGCAGTGTCCCTTCTCACACGCTCCCTTGGGGACTGAGTGAGGGGAAGCTCTGAGTGCTGTCCTGGCAGAATGAGGCTTCAACAGACACCTTTCTCATCACTGCTGACGAGAATGTGAGGACTCTGTGATCAGAGCAGAGCTGGCTGTGACAGCAGCTGACACCTTGTAAGGCAGGGGAGAGGGCTGCCATCCTGAGCTGCCCCTGATCACTCCGGGACAGGGTGGAGCCAGGTCTAGACCCCACGAGACCCAGTAGAAGTCCAGGCCCAGTCCTGGGTCCCTGAGGATGGGTGCCCACCTGGAGGCTGGCAGGGGACCCTTCTCCTATTTAAAGGACATGGTGCTTGGGCCCCGGGGGAGCCCTAAGCACACAGTTGGCCGTTTTCTTGGGCGGCTGGGGGGCTGGCCTGGGACTGGGCAGAAAGCTCTGCATGGCATTGACAGAAAGCCTGCTCCACTCAGCTGGCCTAGGCAGGACACCAAGCAGGTGTGCTATACACACAGCAGGATGGGGCTCCGACAGAAATGAGGGGCGTGGCTCCCCTCCATCCCTCCGCTCTGTCCTGCAACCTGAGGCACGCTTCCCCATTGGGGGAATTTGGTTTCCCACCCTATAGATCAGTTGCCTGTGAGTCCGCTCCAACTCATGTCAGAGTGGCACTGTGCTCCAGAGAGCGTCCAGTGGGCCATTTTTGGAAGCTGATTTCAGGCCTTTTTCTAAGACACCTCTGGTAGATTTGAACAGCCAACCAACAGCAGCTGAGCCCAAACCATTTGCACCCCCCAGCGACTTCTCCATGCTATCGAATGGAAACCTGGACTGAATAGTGACTGGAGTCCCAATGACTCTGGCCTTCTGTGACAGACAGACCGATCTGGGGAAGGACACACACGCAGAGTGGCTCTGGGCCTTTTGTGGGCTTCAGCCCTTTTCCGACTCAGATGATGTTTCACACTTTCCCACAGAGAGGTGCCCCATGAGCCCACACACAGCGCCTGCTGACCCCGTGGGTGCTCTCAGCGCCCTGAGGCTTATCCATGGTCCCCAGTGAGCAGCCTTGCACAGCCCCTGCCAGGGTTGTCCAATCCCAGGCATTACCCACTTGGAGCAGTGGGCACGGCAGGAGCTCACCAGCCTCTGAGAGAGATGAACCCAATTTAGGATGGAGATTTTTCAGTTCTGCTAATAGAGGAACCAAGAAATATCCCCTTTGAAAGGAGAAGTGTGTCACTGTCGAGGGCCCCTGGATACATGTACCCCACCTCTGTCCCCACCAAGTCCCATTCTCAGGAAAGCCTCAAACATTCCAAGGCTGGACTTCTGCAGAATCATCTCCAGTTCTTTGAACCGCACTGGTCTCAGGGAGGGTGTGGGGGAGGGGAGGGGGCGGGGCAAGACCCCTCAAAATGGTTAAATAGGTCATCTCCACATTCTCACTCATCCTTGCGTCCCTGGAGCAGAGAGCACCAAACCTAGATAACTTCTCCTGGGCTTTTGCACCATGACCTCCACGAAGATGCTGTTCCTGGCTGCCCTCCTGCTCGGGGCTTCTCTGCAGCACAGTCAAGCAGGTGAGAGCGTGGGTGAGGGGCACTAGGGTGGGGGCACCGGGGTAGGGATGAGGGCAGGGCACAGACACAGCCGCAACACCCACACACTGATGTGTCAATTACATCCCAGCCATTTTCCAAGAGATCTGGGGGGCCAGCAGCAGTAGGATTTGGGGAGAGGCAGTGCCAAGAAAAACAGTAGTGATGCCCCAGAGGCAGCTTGGTGAATAGCGTGTGTGCATGCCTCTTCCCGCAATGGTGTGAGGCAGGGACTGTGGTCCTGGTTTTACAGTGGGAAATGGACACTTCTCAAGATATTTGTTTGCATCTGTTTTACTAACAAGTTTTACATACAGTGAGGGAATCAGCATAAAGTCAGGAGGGCTGGATCCAGCTGCAAGAGAAAGAGAATTTTATACTCTGCTGGGGAAGGGAGTTGAACTAAGGTTCTGCTTCCGGACCAACACCGGTTAGTGTCCTGTATGGCAACAAAACTGTCATCCTTCAGGTAATCTTCCTAAGATTGTCACCCCCTAATCATTTGCTGTGGGTCATTCTGAGCTCACAGGGCTGTAGAGTTAGAGCAAGGTGCAGCCCTGGAAGGGTCAGAGAACAGTCAGGGGCTTCTCAGAAAACGCTCTAGTGAGGCAGTCAATAAATCCACAAGGGTGCCTACTTTCAAGTGTTGGGGATTTTTCTTGCGCAAAGACGAGGGCTCTCCATTCTATCTGTCAAATGGGGCAGCAACAGTACCTGTTCCAGGTGTGCCGTGAGGACCCAATAACATGCTGCAGGTAAAGCCTCCGCCCAGTGCCTGGCACAGAGTAGATGCTGGTGATCCAGGGCTGCGAGACACAGCTAAACACACAGTGCACACACGGATACACGCCCATAGACACACAAGCACACAGGACCCCTCATGGCACACACAGACATCTTATGTGCACATGGGCTCACACTGACACACAGATATACACAATGATACATACTCAGACCCCTCCCCAATCCCCACACAGCAGCACACACTCACAGGCCTCAGACCACAGACCCTCCAACAACACCCAGACACACACATATGCAGACATGCACAAAGACACACTCATATGACCCTCCCACAAATTCACATACAGGGCCCCCCCCCAGCTAACACACAGATAGATACACAGACATGCACACACAAACACACAGACACACAACCCTCCCACAAACACACACACAGGAGCCCCCCACTAACACACATACATGCACACATAAACAGGTACACAGACATGCACCTGCAGACACACAGACACGCACAAAGCTCCCCTCCTTATATGCACACAAACCCCACCCCCACACACACACATACACACCACATGCTCACAGAAGCGCCGACCCTAATCTGTTTCTCACCAGCTCGAGCCACCAATGTGGGTCGGGAGTGCTGTCTGGAGTACTTCAAAGGAGTCATCCCCCTCCGGAGGCTGAGGGCGTTTTACAGGACCTCAGCCGAGTGTCCCAGGGATGCCGTCGTGTAAGTCTGCCTCCTCCTGTGCTCAGCTCCCAGCAGCCGGTCCCAGGGTCCCCGGGACAGCCTCTGAGCACAGGGGTGGGGAGACAGCTGGGCACTTCTGCCCAGTGACCATCCCCGCCTGCTCCTCAGGGCAGCTCCCGACACATACTGAGACCTGAAGAGGCCCCAGGCCACAGAGCCCCAGCTCTTCATTGCCTCATAGTGAAACTGGTTCTGAGAGGGATGGGCCACCCCAGGGTCACTCAGTCAGTCACTGACTGATGTGGTCACTGCCTTCAGGCTGAGCCACTTCAGGATGCTCAGAGTGCCAGGCCTGTCCTGGGTTCAGTCTCTGAGTGGTCTCGGGGCAAAAGGGCTGAGGTGGGGGGTGAGGGAGGCCTACAGCACTGGCTCCCTGGGATGGCCAGGACCAAGCCAGGGCCCCGGGAGGGCCAAGAATTGGTGAATGACAGCGTGTGATGACCCAGATCTACCCGATACCCTGTGTGGCCTCGGGCAAGTTCCTGTCCCTCTCAGATCCTCAGGCTCCTGCTCAGTGCAGGGCAGGGGCTGGTTCTCGGGCCCTGTGTGTAAGGCCCTTCGTGCCCTGACAGCTTTCTGTCCTCGTAGGTTTCTTACTGCCCAGGGTAAGGCCATCTGTTCGAACCCCAAGGAGTCATGGGTGAAGAAGGCAGTCAAACACTTGGAAAACCTCATGAAGCTCCCCAAAAAAGCCACCATCCAGCATTCCTGAGACTCCCCCTCCCTGCCCTGCCCAAGACCAGTGGAGGTCTCACGAAGACAAACAAGAGCCCCAGCGATGACACCCTCCCCCTTTCTGAACTGGAGCCAGGACATTAAAGGGCCCAAATTAAAGTCTCTGTCCCTCAGCCTGGGTCAGTGTGTTCTGTCCCCATAGTGCACGATGCCTTCCCAACCCAGCCTGTCACATGGGAAGGGCCCTCACAGAATATCTGGTCCTGCCCTGCCCCGCCCCTGTCAGAAGGATAAACTGAGGCTTAGAGGGGTTCTTGGCTGCTACAGGCCACACTCAAGGAGGGGAGGCCCTGGTGAGAGGCCCGGCAGGGGCAGGGCTGAGGGATTGAGCGAGGCGGAGATAAACGTTCAGCACGGCCACCCTTCTTGGGCTGGCTGTCTTCTCTCCCCTTCTGCCAGGTGCCCGTAGGTAGGGGTTCTGGGAAGGGCCACTGCAATTGTCTCCCATCTCCTGTGTCTCTGAAGTCCCCGCTTTGCCCCCAGCCACCCATTCTTGTCTGTAATCCCCTGGCTTCATGCCAAGTTGAGGGCACGCTTCCCCACCCACATTTGATCCAATCCTCAAACGTTTCCAGGTCCCGTCCACAGGCCAGGGCTCCAGCAAGTGCTTTGTGGGGGAGGGAGGTGTTCCTGTAGGGCCCTCTCAGCCTCCACTGTTACTCAGTCCCCTAATATGAACGTCAGTCACATGGCCCCCCAAAAATCCTGGTGAGGCTCAGCTCCACCTGCGCCCTGGCCCCCTCCCCCAACCCAAATATCTTCTGGTCTGCAGCCCAGGGTCTGAACCAGCTCTGCTGGGTCCTGAGTTCCTGCCTGCCTTTGGGACCTGAGTCTCTCTCCTGCCCCACTTCATCTCCCTCTGCTTCCCAGCCCTCTCCAGCGCCCCCATCAGGCTGGTTACCTCCAGCACCAAGGTTTCTCCTGACCTGAAGTGTGGCCCCTCGCAGCACTGACATCCCACCCACTCTAGTCCAAGCCCAGCTCCCTGAGAGCAGCAGCCCACAAGCTTCTCTGATTTCCTCCATTCGCTTGCTGGTAGGGAGTGTAGTGTAGCCTGCAGTGGCGGAAGGGGGCTAGTTCTCATTTCCTGTGTCTGTCTGCCAGTCCTGACTCCTCAGTTAGACAGGGAGTTCCCTCAGCCTGGGACGGGACCTGAACCCCCTTGGGAGCCCCTCAGCCCCTCTGGTCAAAATGATGGGGACAGGAAGGTTCTGGACCCCCAGGCCCAGCTTAGGGCAGCGAGGAAAAGGTCTCCAGATTCCGGTTCTGGCCCCCTCTCTCAGCTACCCGTGGGTTGTGGCCTGGTCCTGGTGGGTTTGTGGCTTCTCTCTTGGGTGCAGTCTAGGTCAGGGGCATCGGGTCCTTCTCTTTCTAGGATTCTGTGGCCTATATTTGTTGGCCCTGGGCCTGAAGTAGAGAGTTATTTTCAGTCAAGCCTTTGTCTCCTCCTGCCCCCTTATGGCCAGTTATCTCACTGCAAGGCAGGTGACAGAACCCAAGCTCTCTTTCCAGCTGGGGCAAGAATAAAACAAGAAGAACAATAATAATAATGGTGACAATTATAGAGCAAAATGGCAGTTGAGATTAAAACTAAAGAGCTTTTACTGAGAGACAAGACAGTTTGAAAACTTGGAATCACAAAAGTCCAGAGGATTCTGAACTAAGTGACCCAGGGAGGAGACAGTTCAGAGAGTTTATATAAGAAACTACTAGGAAATTCAGCCATTGGTTGAGGTTTAGATAATGGTTACAAAATTGGGTGATGGTACATCTGATTGGTAGGGGAATTATGTGTTTCTATAGTTTTTTTAAATAAGTTACAAAATAATCATTAAATTGGGTACACCTGGCCTCCAAACCAGGTGCTCTGGTGGTGTAGTGGATAAGGCACTTCACTGCTAACTAGGTCAGCAGTTCAAAGGCACCAGCTACTCAGCTGAAGGAAGACTGGGAGATCTACCTCCCTACAGCCTTGGAAACCCAATGGGGTCACTATGAGTCAGAAATGACTTCTTGGCAGTGAGTTTGGTGGTTGGTTTTTCTTTTTTTTTTTCCCTTGGCCTTCAAACAACCACCAGCCACTCCTTGCGTGACTGTAAGGAGGACATGCAATTCTGAAGTTTGTTTCAAGTAAACATCTGTTCTGAGAATTGGTTTGAACCTGGCTTCTCAAGCAGCAAACAACATTTTCAAGTAAGTAAAATCTACATTGTTTTCCAAGTCATTTTCTCAGCGTCCAGTGGCAAGCTACAGGATGATAGGGTATATTCCGGATACAGAAGTTGCTTCAGATTCAAAATAGAGTTTTAGCCTCAGACCTTAGCACAGCCACTGTCTCATGCTGGGAGTCCTAAGTTAATTGGGGGGCTCTTACTCATGAGGAATGGGGCTTCTCTGTGACCCCAAGGTGTCTCGGCACAGGTGGGCTCTTCCTTGTCCCGGCCTAGACGAGCATCCTTGATTCAAGGAGGCAACCGAGTCAGAACTCTTTGGGAACATGTCCTCTGGATCCACTGGGTGGGAGAAGGTTGATTACAGAGAAGTGGGTGCCAAGAGGAGCCCCTTAGAGAACAAAGGAGAGGGAGGTCTGCGCCATGGACCCCTGTGCCCTGCGGGCCAGAGCGGAAGGACACTCAGAGTACATTTAATCCAGGGCATTGCAGATTTTTTAAAAAGAGGCAGAGTTTTTTTTTTTCCCCCCTTGTGAAATCTCACTCGAAAGCTCTATGGTAAACTTGGATAAGTAGAGGATTTCAAGGAAGGGCAGGAGGTGACAGTGAGAAAATAGAGGTCATTTAAAAGTCACTCAGCAGAGACAACAAGGATCGTGAAGGAAACAGGTGTTTAGTGGCAGGATCAGGGATGCTGGGTGCGCGGGGCAAGATACAGGCAATGGGACCAGCCACCATGTGGTCATGGGAAGTGGGCGTTTTAAAGAATCCCGGGTTTGGAGACTCCCCTTGACTATGAGCAGGAAGGAAGAAGGAACCTGCTTGTGCATTGTCGTCCTTCCACCTGGAAGACACTTCCCCTCCTCCTCCTGCGAAATCTAGTTCCCCTAAGAGCCCAGGTCAAATACCAAGTCCCCGAGAGGCCCTCCCATGTTTCCTTGGCTGCATTTCGTCCCTCGCTCTGTGTCCTCCGCCAACTCTCAGTTCTTCTGTCCAGTTAATCTTTACCACTCCTGCTTCCTGGAACCATAGCTGCTTGGGTGTCTGACTCACCCGATAAGGTCACTGAGGCAGGTGTTTGGGTCAGGTAATTCAGTACCTGACTTATTGGAGGGGTAGGGGATGCTTTGTGCATCGCGGACATTTATTTGATTTATGTATTTCCGTCAACAAGTGCCCGGGTGAATGCCACAGGGGCACTAGTGAGGAAGGAGACACTCCGGAGTGGCAGCGCCATAACTGGGCTTTAAGCCTACCACGTGTCAAGAGATGGAAAGCAGAATTGGGTTGCTCTCCCCATTGCCCACCAGAGGGCGCTCCGCCCCTAAAATAAAGCTCCGAGGGCTGGGCGACCCCCCCCAACACACACACACACACACACACACACACACACCTGATTACACCTGTTCAGGGCCTTGAAGCGGGTGTTTGCAATTGGACGGCTGTTCTCCAGGGTTCTCACAAGAACCTCCAGGAAATATCTGGTTCAGTTAAAGTCTTATTCAAAAATTTAAAAAGTGCCAGCAGCCCAGTATATATATAAAGATACTACAAAACAGTAATAATAATTACTATAATAAGGTAATGAGAGCGAGAAGAATGTTGCCACAGAGCTGATGGATACTGAGCCAGGCTAGCGGGGATTTTCCTTAAGACCCAGGGTTTTAAGTGTGGAGTTTTACAAGTTTTTAAAATGAACTTTCTTATAAATACAAAATATATGTATAGGGAGGGTATAAAAAACACAGTAGTAAAATGAACTCCCATTCACCCACCATCCACCAGAAGAAACGGACCCTCCTGATTTGCTGATGGGTCGCGTCCCTTTCCTAGTTGCCGTCCTGTCATCTTTCCCCAGGCTGAACTGTGCTCCTGAACTTTTCCTCCATCCTCCTCCTTGATTTTCTCTGGTTTTGTCACCTATATGCATGTACGTGCTTGTGGGGTGTGGGGGTGTTTATGGAGCTATCGACATCCCTAACAATATATTGCTATTGATGCATTTTGCATGTTTTTGAACTGAATATGAATGGTCTCATATTTCACATACACTCTTTTGTGGCTCAACACTGTGAGAGTCCTCTGTATTGACATACATAGCACAATCCAGCATTTTTCACTGCTGTGTAGTGTTCTACCATGTAACCTCATAATCCTGTCTCTAGTTACCACCATTTGGAAAATGTCCAGGTTTCTTGCTATTATAAAGAATGCTATTTTGAACATTTCAAAAGTTGCCTTCTGTCACACGTGTACAACAACTGCCCTAGAGCAGCAGTTCTCAACCTTGGTTACACATTAGAATGACCCAGGAAAGCTTGCAAAAATCTCTCTGCTCTAGACACCACTTAAAAAGACTGATCTTTGGGAAGGTGGGGCCCAGGCCTAAGTCCTTTTGTTTTCACTTTGCAAGCTACCCAGGTAATTCTAATATGCAGCCAGACTCAAAACTGACATTGGAGGGTGTAATTGCTGAAACATTGCCTGACAACAGGAAGAGCTCTGGCCTGGCCACGCCTCCACCAATACCTGTTCTTTTGTATCTGTTCTTTAATACCCTCCCTATACATATATTTTGTATTTATAAGAAAGTTCATGGCACTCGCACAGAGCAGAGCCTCTCTCCTCCTGTCTGACACCCGGAGTGCCTCTTATATGTATGGTATCTGCATCTCTGTGGGATTCTTCGTTCCTGCCTGCCGGTGTTACAACCCAAACCAGAAAATGAAACTCTGCCATTCAGTCGATTGCGACTCATAGTGACCCTATAGGACAGAGCAGAACTGCCCCACAGGGTTTCCAAGGCTGTAAATCTTTATAGAAACAGACTGCCTCATCTTTCTCCCAGGGAGTGGCTGGTGGGTTTGAACTGCTGATCTTTTGGCTAGTGGCCGAGTGCTTTAACCACAGCACCATTAGGGCTCTTTGTGTCATAATCAGGAGGTTTTATTTCACAACTCAAGGTGGGCCTACACCTCAGAGCAGGTTTGCAACCTCACTCATCCTCTCTTCTCTGCTTCCTGTGCCCTTCAAGGCAGCTGCCTCAGACACACTCCCAGCTATTTTGTGCTTTGGGCAGCTGTTTCCCAACCCTAAGGAAGGTGTGGTTGTCTTTGCTACTGTTCTCCTTACTGCTTTTTAATTGTTTCAGAAAGAGAGGGAGAAATCCAAAATGTGTGTTGCCAGGTTCTAAGCAAAAGACCTTAGAGTTCAAAAACTAAAGTAAGATTCCTCAGCCCTACCTCAGGCCTACTGACTCTGAACATCCACAGCAACCTGGGTTACGGGTGGTGGGGCAGGGCATCAGTCATTCTGACGGTGGCCAGGCCTGAAGCCGTGGAAATCTAGAGTATCATCATCCGTTCTCATGTGAAACCCCCCAGTATTTGCCACCGACCTCATTTCTGAGGATTAACTTTACTACCTTCTTTAACCACGATAGCGGGATTAGATTGAACAATCCCAAATACCCACAAAGCCGTGAAATTCTAGGATTTCTACTTAGCCTAGTCCTCAGCATAAATTAGAATTTAGGGTGGTTTTTGGGTTCTAAAGTTTTCACCAATCTGTTTTTTTCTTTCCTTCCATTGTGATTTGGGTGAAAGTTTACAGAGCAAATTCATTTTCCATTCAGCAGTTCATACACATTTTGTTTCATGACATTGACTACAATCCCCATAATTTAACTGCTTTCTTCCAACTTCCTCCCTGTGGTTACCTCTTCCCTGTGTCCTTCCTTCCTGTGCGTCCCTGCCCTCTGAGCTGTCTCCCTGTGCAAATACTGCCCTGCTGATCTCCCATGATTGATCGTTCTAAGGAGTGTATCTACCTGGTGTGAAATTTTACCTCATATGCCTGTCTACCAATTGGCTGGAAGCCACGGGAGTGTACTTCCAGGTCTGAAGGGTGACTAGGGGCCATAATTTAGGTGGTTTCACCAGTCTCTATCAGATCAGCAAGCCTGGTCTTTTCTATGATTTTGAGTTTTGTTCCACATCTATCTCCCACTCCATCTGGGATCTTGTGCACTTCTGAGCAGTTGAAGTTTTCAGCCAATCCTGGAGACAGTATCATAGGATTTGATGTTGTGGCAACCAGTGTCCAATCAAGAGGATATAGCCTCTGGCCAGTCACCCTCTCAGTCTAGGCCAGTTTCCTCAAATGTGAATTGGGGTTGTACCCAGTGACTCCTGAGACTCCTTCTGTTCTAGTAAGTGAGCTGACCAAAGGCTACACACTCCTCCCAGCACGGCTGAGGACTGGCTATCTACTCCTGCCTCGCCTCACTGCAGCTGGAGCTGAGCTCCCAGGCCCAGCTGTACAGTGGGGTCTGACAAGGCCTCTCTCCAGTGCTTGGGGCCCCTGGTTCCCTCTGAGCCCTGTGGAGCGACACACCAGCTGCCACCATGGTGCCACTAACCCTGCCAATTGTAGCAGCAGGAAATAGCATCATACAATTTTTTTGCCAGCAGATCTGGACTTAGAACGAGAATCGGGTCAGCAAGGGTTTGTGACGTTTGCCCAAGGCCTGCTAAACCCACCCCAGGCAGCTCTGACTCAAGGTCTCTTGTCCTCAAAGCAGAGGTAGAGATTTCTGGCTTTCACCTTGGCAACCAGAGCAGAAGCATCAAGCAAAGGCAACAGCAGTCCAGCAGCTCCATAAATCTGTTAATGGTAGAACTGGTCCAGGGGAGGGAGGCGGGACTGTTTTTATCAACTTTTTATTGTGATTTGAGCAAAAATTTAGAGAAAATTGGACTTCCATTCAACGATTCATACACTGTGTGACACTGATTGCCATCGCCAGGATGTAACAGCTTTCTTCCCTTTTCCTCCGTTTACCATTTCACTCCTTCTTTCCTCTCTCTTCCTGCCTCCCAAGCTTTTGCCCTGGGCAAATGTTGCCCTTTTGATTTCACGTGGTTGACTGTTCCAAAGAGTGTGCACCTCCCTGGTGTTACTGTTCATCTTACAGGCCTATTGTTTGCCTGAAAGTTGAGCCACAGGGCTGAGTTCAGTTCCAAGCTTGAAGGGTGACTGAGGCCAGGCTTGGGGTTCCACCAGGGAGGGACTGGATGTTTTCTTTTGCTGCATAAATGATAACCACACAGTGAGCTTCTGTGGTCACCTGCTCAGGGTCTCACCAGGCTGCCATCAAGATGCCAGCCAGGCTGTTCTCATCTGGAGCTGGGGGGCCTCTTCCAAGCCAACATGGTTGTTGGCAGAACTCAGTTCCTTGCAGCTATAGGACTGAGGTCTCTGTTTTCAGGCCGACCATCAGCCAGAGGTGCTCTCAGCTCCTAGAAGGCACCCGATTCCTGCACAGGGACCTCTCACAGGGCCCTTCACAGCATAGCAACTTCAAGGCCAGCAAGAGAAACTGTTGTCCAAATCATCTTTTAAAGGATCAAGGGATTAGGCCAGGTGCACTCTGGAGAATCTCCCTTTTGATGAACTTCAAGTCCATTGATTAAAACCCACTGCCATGGAGTAGATTCTGCCCCTAGAGGACAGAGCAGAGCTGCCCCATAGGAAATCTTCACAGAAGCCGACTGCCACATCTTTCTTTTGAGGAGTGCCTGGTGGGTTTGAACCACTGATTTTTTGGTTAGTAGTTGAGTGTTTAACCACTGCATCACCAGGGCTCCTTCTCAATTGATTAGGGAATTTAATTTTACCTGCAAAATCCCTCCACTTTCCCAACACCACTGAATCCTGGTAGTGACAGCCCACACTCACAGGTCTTGCTCAAACTCGCACGTGCAGGTCCCCGGGGTTGTCTCAGAACTCTGCCTGTCGTGGGGCTTCAGAGTGGAACCAGAACTAAGCCCCACCCGTAACTGAGCCCTCCAGCAAGGACCAGGACAAGCAAAAGCTGAGAGGACCGAGTCAAGTTCTGAGGGCAGATACCAAGGAATACTTTCATTTATTGGTAAAACAGAAACATCCAGGGCACAAACCCACACAATCTCTCCAGACACGTGGCAAGACCGATGCCAAGTCCGCATGGGTGGGTAACAAAGAGAACAAAGGGGACTCCTGGTCAGAGAGACTTCTTGTTGGTTCAGAGTTCTGTCCTGCTTCCCTCTAAATCCTCATCCTCCTGGATTCCTCTGAAGCAGCCGGCGAGACGCCCTATTTCCTAAGTGGGGTACTAGCTGTTGTATGCAACACTGAGTCCCTCCAAAAAAGAAAGTTTTGGATTCAAGATGAGCTTGGACAGCTGCCAGACATCTCACCCATATACCCCCCTTCATAAGTGATATGTGGAAGGACACAAGTTCAAGACCTGGAGGTGAACAGCAGTGACAGCTGGCAGATGCAATGCTACAGGAAACGGGTGGGGTGGGAGTGACAGGGGCAGAGAACACTGGGTAAAGTCACATCAGCCAATGAGCAATTCCTTTGGTGCTGAGGTCATGAAACACTTGACACATGGGACCAGGAGCTGCACAGTGAGTGACCCACCAACTCTGCAGGAGAGGCAGCACTGCCGCTGAGCTGAGCACACAGCCCGGCTCGAGGGCTTTATCCCAGAGCTTACTGCTGAAGGATGTCTGGGCCCCAGACAGTTACTATGGTCAGTAATTCGCCACCGAGAGAGGGGCTTCTTCAGGGCACACTCCCTTCCCCCTAACATTAAGTGAAGAAACAGGCCCCCACACTCTGGGTAGCCGGCATCATAATACACCAGTGCACCCCCACAGCCAGTCCCACTGTTTACTAAGAAGCCTTCACAGTTGGGTTTCAAACAGAATGAGCAAACCCAGGGAGTCCGAGGAGCCACACCGTGGGGTCTGAGGGCAGGACTGGCCAGAGGGGGCTCTGTCCGCGATGGGTCCTTCCTAGGCGTCGTGCAGAGTGCTGGTGCTTAGAAGTACCTTCTCCCCAGGTTTGAAGGCCGGCATCCCCAGGTAGGGGCAACTGGCACAGCGGAAAGCGTCACCCAGGTAGCACTATTGAGAGGGAAGACACGGGCACACAGGGAGTGTCAGCGCATCCCACAAATACAGGCCAGAAGAAAGCACGGAAATATTAAGTTTTCAAGATCTCGTTTCATAAAAAAAACAATAGTCAAGAGAACCTCCTAGGAGACCACAGTTCCATATTCTAAGCAGTTCAGATTACAGCCAAAGGCCACGTCACATCAGGCCCCACCAGGAAGTGGAAACAAAAGGGCCAAAAACGAGAATGAACAAGAGAATCCACGCTACCCCCCCACCTCACTCTGGGGAGACAATCCCTGCTCTCCAGTCCTATCTGCAAACAGTCCTCACACGTGGCCCAGTTTGATAATATCCACACAGTGAGCTCCTTGGAGAGAGTTTAGGATGATGCCCGAGACCATGGGGGGTCGTGAATGCTGAGTGGTCACATAGATACCTACGTTCCCACAAGCCGACTTGGGCTGGGAGCTCTTCTGTTCCTTCGACTTCTCCTTTTCCAGTTCTTCTGCGAGGCCACATGTGCTGCAAGAAAACCAGCCACTGATGAGATGCGCCACCACCCAGCAACTCCACATCCTTGACAGCGCCGAGTGTGCGCTCAGCCTGTGCTCTTCAGACCAGTGTCATGACTCAAAGAAATCCCGTGGGGCCGGGTGGTCACACACGAGTGAGGCTCTCTGGGGAACAGTTAAGAGTGGTGGAAATGGGAAGCACTAGAGGGCTCATGCTCTGTCCAAAGATGGCTGCCACCGCCAGGCCTCTGCTGGTCATGGTCATGGGGAAAGGCACAGCCAGTGTGGCCACGTTTTCCAAACTTTAGTTTTAAAAAAAAAATTCTGGATTTTTTTACTTGAAATTTGCTCAGCTATAAATGCTTGCAACATTTACATAAAACAAGGAGCTCTGGTGGTGTAGTGCCTAAGGCAGCTGACCTAACCAGAGGGTTGGTGGTTCAAACCCACCACCCCACCACCCACTCTAAAGAAGCAAGACTGGACAATCTACTTCCATAAACATTTACTGCCTTGGAAACCTAAGGGGGGGTCACCGTGAGTCGGAATTGACTCGAAGACAGTGGGTTTTTTTTTCCCACATAAAACAAAACAAAAAAAACTCCCACCAAACCACACTAATGATTAAATAAGTTAACTTTGCATCACCCTTTCCATTCACTCTTCAAACTGATATACAAACAGTAACACCAGGGTAAGAGGACGAACAGGACAGACATATCCACTGTCACTCTCCCTCAGAACCCTACTGCCATCCAGTAAAGAAATTTTTTTATAAAGACATATACCCACAGAGACAGGGAATATTGGGAAGGAGATGACAGCAATAGTGTTAGAAACTGAAAAGCAGATGGAAGGAGAAGGGACCTAGTAGACGTGAGAAAGCTAACACCAAGCCGGCAGTGAGGAAACCACCCACGTTAAAAATCTGTTGCCGTCGAGGTGCTTCCAACTCACAGCGACCACACAGGACAGAGTAGACCTGCCCCATAGGGTTTCTGAGACTGTATTCTTTATTGAAGCAGAATGCCACATCTTTCTCCCATGGAGCAGCTGGTGGGTTTGAACCACTGCCCTTTTGGTTAAATACCCAAGCGTTTCAACCACTACATCACCAAGCTTCCCCCACCCATATTATCCTTCTGGAATCTTACAAGGCACTGGAATTGGCAGCACGTGGAGGCTACAAGCCTCTGAGACATCTAACCAATCTGAGAGGAAAGGCCCACAGACGTGGACCCCACCCTCTCCAAAGCCTCCCAGGTCTACTTGGTAAAGCACAGTCAACAAATCCACCTCCCGGCTCCAAGCTCTCAGGCAGCTTCCACCCCCACGCCTAACCACGAGGACAACCAAGGATTATCGGACACCTTACGAAAGTCTCCAACATGGAAGGCAGAGACCAAAACAAAAAGAGAAAAATAGCTTGGAAAAAATAGAGGTTATGCAGGGAGAAAAACTTTGCAAAAGGCATCACCATCTTCAAGAGAAAAAAAGATACCATATGCACGAAATGAAAGCTGGATTTTAAGAAGTCAAGAACAAAAAATATGACTCAAAAGACAGACAGGTGAAGGCCACCACCGTCATAATTCCTGCTGCCATAGTACAGGTGAGTTAGCCCAGGCTGTCCTTGGTTTGTCCTGACCACATACTGATAACGTTCCTCTCTCCCATCCACACCTGAAGCCAAGGTCAGCTAAGGACCCTCATTTCACCCCACAGAAAGGTTCCGCTTTGATCTACGTCTGAGCGTGGGAGGCTCTGGTGAGCTTGGAGCAGGAGACAGCACCATCTGACCATATTTCTGCTGGTTTCCTGGTAACTGTATCACGGTCCACCTATGCCAGTGCTGTATTTATGGCCTGCCTTTCATTACCTAAAGTCACTCGTGTTTCTTCCTACTGATGTCCCTGGAAGGGACTTGCAGAAGTGGTGATGGTGGCCCCCCCAAAGCTATGTCTATGTCCAGAACCTGTGAATGGGACCTTATTTGGAAAAAGGGTCTTTGAGACATAATTAGGGTAAGGATCTCGAGATGGGATCATCCTGGATTATCCTGGTGGGCCCTAAATCCAAGGACAAGTGTCCTTCTAAGAGAAGACACACAGAGATAGAGAAGCCCATATGAAGACAGAGTTGTGGAGCTAGACAGTCACCAGAAGCTGGAAAAGACAAGGAAGGATCTTCCCTAGACCTCAGCGGGGGCACGGCCCTCCAGACACCTTGATTTCAGACTTCTGGCCTCCACAACTGAGAGAAG